AGAGAGAGAGAGAGAGAGAGAGAGAGAGAGAGAGAGAGGGAGAGAGAGAAAAGAAGAGAAAGAGAAAGAGAAAGAGAACGCACCGATACAATCCACCTCCCAGCTCAATGAATGCGCCGGTCCCGAGCTCCCCGCGTTCCACTCCACCTTCCTCTGCGTCTTCTGCCCCATCTCATTCAGGCGCGATATATAGCTATTCGCGACACTCAGCTGGTCCAGACTCTTTGAAATCGTCGGGTCTGCTCCTCCCATCCCCATTCCCATCCCCATGCCGGGCATCCCTCCGAGTCCGGGTGGAGGGCCGTTCATGCCAGGCGAGCCGGGAGGAGGAGCAGGTGGCATGGGCGGGAGGGAGAAGTGCGACATCCCGTAGTTGGGGTCCACAATTTTTCCGATCCAGGTTTGGACGGCTATGATTCCGGAGGTGACGAGGACGGCGCCAACGAACGAGTGGAAGAGGAGGAGGAGTTGCTACGCGTAGAACATATCATGTGAGCAAAGGTAGAAAGAGAGAGAAAGAACAAGGGGAAGAGCCGTACATTAGGATCCTCGAGTTTTGCAGCAGGGACGAAGTTTCGTCGCATGTTGTAGGCGTCCACCCATGTCGTGATAGTCTGTACGGAGGTGATGTGGTCGAGTTGGCGCTATGAGATCATTGCGTTCGCATGGACCGCCACAACATCATTTCGTTAGCGATCCGTTTCCATGTGTTCAGATTAGTGAGGACAGATTAGCATGAGACCAGGGACAAAGGGCTCGAATTTATGTGGCGGCGACTGTGAACCCTGCTCGGGCTCTCATGCCTCACCTCATGCACTCACCTGCATCTCACCAGGGTCCAGCTCTGGCTCCTTCGAGAACAACGCATTCGCGACTGCAAACTGAAGCGCCGGTCGCCCGACCATCGCCAATCTCTCATTATCCTCCTCGGCGGAGCTGGGCTGGCGGAGGGACTTGTGTGTGTACACGGCCAGTGCGAAATTGCTGGTCAGTTCTGGGAGCGGTGATTGTTGGGGTATGGGCATCGTCGGGAGGGGAGGCGGACTGTTCACGGGTGGCGGGGCTTGCTGTTGTTGCGGAGGCTGTGGGGGTGGAGGCGACGACATCGTGCGGGATTCAATTGTGTGGCACCTGTGAGAGGGAGGATTCGGTTAGATGGGAGATTGAGGAGAGCGAGGAGAGAGAGGAGAGAGAAGAAAGGTGGGGATTTATGTGCGCACAGAGCCCTTATTTATACCTGGGTCACAGCCTCGCTTAGGAACGGTCTGCTTGGGCCACTGGCACCGACAGAGCACAAAGGATCCACCCGTGGTAAAGGGTGCGTGATACATACGTGGGTTTCATCGAATCTTCTCCGTTATGGGGAGCTAGCGCTGTCGCTATTTTCCCTACAGCTGCGCGAGCTCTTTGGCTATATCGCTCGCAGCACCCACTCGCTACTGGAGTTTGTAGCCACTGGACATCAAGATCGTTGTCCATCCGAGGACAAGGACAGTGGGTTTTTGAAATTTCAGACCCAGGACGGTCATTGCGTACTTAAGACGCCCACGATGAAGCTCTCAGCGCCTGTCAGTGATCCAATCATACCAGCAATCATAGAAGATGGGCGTCTGAGTGCGGCAACGAGGAAAAATCATGTCGACTGCTGAACACAGTCTCCCAACCGCAAAAGTTCCAGAACGGTGTGAAAGCGGAGTCAAGCCAAGTCCGAGGTCTAAAAGCAATCGATCCCATCGATTTCTTGGATTGACTTACGGTTAGAGAACAAATACAACACAGCAAGACTGTCGACTGTCGAAAGCAAAGAGTAGATGATGGTGGCGAGAGCTTGGAGAGAATGTGGCCCAAAAGTACTGTACTTTTTCGCGCACAAGTTCACGCCACCGCCCCTCGGCTGTTGCCGAGATGACATAATCCGTTCGCGTCCCGGTTCGCAAGCAGACCGGGACAAGGGACAATGTTCGTGAACATCGACGCTTTTTCAGGAATACGACCTCTCATAACTGCTCAACAGCCATTCATCCTCTGCATTGGGGTGGAAGAGCTCACCCAGTAGTAAAATCTAGCCCAAAGTGTGCCGTGGGGGCCTTCCTGAGGTCAATTTAGGAGCCTAGAATATATTCGCATTTTCGTCAAATTTTCGTTAAATTTTGGTTTGTCCCATTTACAAGTTCAGTGCACGTCAATGGGGTGGGACTGTCCCGCGGCACAAGTTCGTTCCCGGCTCCCATGGGACACGGGACACGAACTTGTGCGCGAAAAACTACAGTAGAAACAGCTGTATCTTGTTCGGCGATACCCGATAGGGGTTTTCTGCTCCCATTTTCGCTCTTCTTTTCTTCCCCGAAAGCGTCCGGCACATTCCTTGTGTTCCGATCCGTCTCCTTATGTTTGTCAAGATGCCAGAGTATAAGCACGGGAAAGGCCACAGGTGGCAACGCCCGCTACGCACCCCGCGCGGCATCTTCGAT